AAATATAACTTTAATTTGTATAATCTTGTGTTAACTGCATTCCAAAACAACAGGTGGAGTTAAATAATGCAGCTATATATTTAAAATAAAAATAATAAAAAAGGAGACAGAAATGACAAATATTGATGAGGAAGCTAGAGAGTCAGTGAAGCAGAGATATGACAAGAGGTTTGCAAATAGAAGGGGCTGCAATAGAGAAACTGCTTAGGCTCCCAGAAATCATGTAGCATGAAAAAACATTAAAGGAGTATAGTAGCTTAATGCAAAGGACTGGGAGTGAAGAAGAGGGATATAACAAAGCTGATGAGTTGGTCCATCAGAGGAAGCACAAGGCTAGAAGGCAATCACTATGGGTAGTTCTTGAAGTGAACAGGAAACCAATAAAGCTTTGTGACTACAAATTACGTGGTCTGGGCTTTTTGTACATCTGAAGAAATGAGTAATGGCTTCCAATGAAAGCAGTAGCATTGATGTATATTTTTACTATAACTACTCTAGCATGAATGGTGTATTTCAGGTGTAACAAAAACAGTTTCTATTTATGCCTCAAGGTATAAATGACCTGTTTTTGTAAGATGATATTCAGATGTAATCCCTGACCTGCTATGATTACAAACCACTAATCCTATTATACACGGCACATGGCAAATAATAGCAAAATGCTATACTGTAATTAAGCTGGATAAACTATACATTGACAAAAAGTATTCACCTTTAAGCCAACTAGTGGTATGCATTCTTTATCTAACATAGACAATATAGGCTTAAATGGTATAATATATGAAAACATGGCCAGGGTAATATGTTTGGTTTTGTGGGGGAGGGAACAAAACAAGGGGAAATTGAGTGCTTTTCATATGTATTAGTGACACTACTGATTTACTTTTATATACAGTAAAAGTTCTGTTATCCAGCATCCCCCGGGAATGGGGAGCAAAATATGCCAGTTAACCGAGCGGCCCGAACAGGCATCCTTGCCTGGTCAGGCCACCATTTCTCCTGCCACACCTGGGGCATCGCTGCCCCTCTCGCAGCATCGCTGACCCTCCTGTGGGAGCCGTGGGGCAGGGAGGTGGGCCCCACACAGCCTGTTATGCCCCTGGGCCATGGGGGC